TATTCCTAGAACGTTTATGAACTATTTGCATGCAACCATTTCCCTTTTTCCCTCTCAATGCCTGATGGAACCAACAACTGTTCCCATTTATTTACTGGATTCGCGACACCAAATCTACGAATCCGGGTTTCCCACCAAATCCAATACACCATCGTGTATCCATGACCCTGGGAGCCAACCAGGTTCCTGCCGTGCGTGCAGATCCTACAGCGTCTTTCTTAGGAATGTCGGACCATCCTAACGTAACTATTAACCCACATGTTCCTACCTAACATGGTCAATGATTACAACATCACGGATCGTATGGTCTCAACTTGAGTAAGCTAACAACTAACTCGAGACATTCACGAATACTACCGCTTAAGTATTCAAACCTACTTGACTTGAATTTACTTTGAACTAGCCAAGGTTTATAATCAGTTCATGCAATACGTAATGGCCAAATCTCCATGACTTGAGCCTAACAAGCAGTCTTTAGCGCAAGCAATCCCTAGTCTCTAGACATGCACGCATGAATAGAAACTAACACCAAGCTCAAAAGATTTATGCATGCAACGCTATTACTACAACAAGTTACAAGCATGCAAAGAATAAGGTAAAACCCTCCGAGTGTTTGACTCATCAACACTCGGAACGCATAACTCACCAAACGCATTTCCTAGTACGTACCACCGCTACAGACTCCTTTCCTCGAATCTGACCTGATATGAAGCTAAGAACACGTATCTTAACTTATAGATCAGAAATAACTAGATAGGGGTAACGAAAAGGGTAAAACAACGAGTCTTACCAATTGCAATCTTCACTCTAGCTACCCGCAGACTGATCCGACACGCTAAGCTCTTTATGGTTCGATCAAAGGAAATTTTAGCAGAGCTTTGGGTGAAAGTAGTGAAAAACGGTCTAGAATTTATGCCTAAAGGGTCGCTATTTATATCCCTGGGTAAGATTTTATTCGATAGTGGGATTCGACAAGTGTACAAGAATCTGCCAAGTATTGGCGTCTTCTGACAAGTGTCTGGAATCTTTGACATGCGCCTGACACGTGTCTCCGAGATTCTGTCGGCCACTTAGCATGTTCTGTACACGCGTAACCTGCGTGACACGTGCTGATCCGGCCTGGGTCAACAGGAATCGTCCCTCCGCGTCCAGACTTACCCGCGCTCGACCCGTCGCATACTGATCTTACCCGCGACACATAATACTTGACTCGCAGGGTCTTCCTTGGCCCAAATCCAATTTTTTTCCTGATAGAATCTAATCTTCCCTCGACTGAAACTTCTTTTAGGACTTCCTTAGTCTAGGCCACGTGAATTCCTTTCAAGGCCGCACACTTGAAAATTTCACGGTTTCCCCTTGGCCGTCCCGACTACGTCTCGACCAAACTACGTCCTCCGGTAATTTCACCCGTCTCTCCTTAGAGATTTTCCCTTCATAAGATTTCCTTCCTAAGTCTTTCTTTGGCCGTTCCACCACTATTGGCCTTGTTCCCCGGGACTTTGTAGAAGTGGCAACTCTGTCGTTCTTAGCCCTAATGAGGGTTATTACAACGAGGATGCATTGACTTGGGAATACCTAATCACACTTCCGTGGAGGTGGTTCTCAAAACTCATTGCAAGAGACGCCATAGGCTTGATGTTTACAACGTGATTGAGATGGTTATTGAAGAACAAAGGAGGAAAGAAGTCCGAACTGGTGAGGATGTGGTGGTATGGAGACGAAATGAGTATAAGTTCCAGCCGAGGTTCAACTCGAAATCGACTTGGCCCCAAATCAGAGATGAGAAGCCTATCGTGGCA